CTGTCTTGGCATTTGTATTGAAAATTCTGATCTTGGTGTTGATTGATAGTTGTTTTGAGTTCCAGATGTTCTCCAGTCGTAAACATGATGCTCTTGCTTTGCCTATCCACGTCTTCGCATCTGCATCAGATCTATCATCTTCATCAATGATGCTGCCCGGATTGCATGAAATCTAGTTCCAGGATATCCTATCAACTGCCTTTTACTACCACTTTACGGTATAATCTACTTAAAACAATTTTTCGAGTAGCTTATCTTCAAAAAATGTCATTAACTCCACTGACACCTGTACTATGTTTTGTTAAACTATCCATATAGTAACTCATGCCAATTTTTATTGTTTTTCCCTAAATAACCAAGCAATTTACCGGGTATTTCATACTATCTATGTTTATCTTTATTTTTCCTTTGTTCATAAGGGAGCAAGTCAATGTATTCTCTTAAGAGAAAATATGAATAACACTTCTATATACTCTTACATACATTTCAATATAAGGATAAACAAACTACCATATCCTTATTCAATCTTTATTCATTTGAAAAATCAATAGAAAGGTTACTCAATTCAATGTGACGTAAAATTCTTTCTTAAATAAACACTTGTTAACCAAGGTATCATTTTACGTGAAAGAAATGAAAATAGAATGAACAAATATAAGTATGAATAATAGATTATTTAATTATCAGTAAGGGGTAGTAGAGATTGTTACGTTTTTGATTGAAATCATAAATCAATTGATGTTAGACCACCATTGTCCCTAAATGCCATGGTACGGCCGAGAGTGGAGAGAGTTAGCTCTACTTCTCTAAATGCTCTTACATGGAAACGCGTATACATCGAATGACTGGTAAGTACTACTCACTGCCTTCTTGCGGTGGGGAAGTTCTCTAAAAAATTGAGAGAAGGAACGGAGAATGTCCGGCGGTTTAACCGGGTTGGTGGACTTGGAGGATCCATTAAGGGGGGTTGGAAAACCCTGATTTCAAACCAATGATGCACATGAACTGCAGTATCCTGAAAGAACAAATGGTTATGAAGCAATTGTTGGTCAACAACTACCATAGGACTGCATCTCCTGACGTTGCTCAACTGCCTTGTGGGTCAGACCTTTAGGTCGAAGGCTCCGGATGTTGTCCGCTAAGAAAACCACCTGCAATGGTCTGAGCACTCGGGCAGTCTCAAAGTCCATACACATATCGAGTGACTTGTGTGGTCCATGTGCATTCGTTGCCCGCTTGTACAAATACTTTTATGATCAAACAAACAAACGAAACCAACGGTTATTCACGGTTCCTCACTAGAACTCCGGTTTTGAGAATGCTGGTCGACGGCCTATGCTCCATTGGGAGTAACATGTATAAGTGAAGAAGTAATAGCGCGGTTGGCATTCGAATCAAAAGACAACGAGTTCCGGTCCTGGTATGCACATCAACCTTTGACAACAGCAATATCCATCTCAAGAGTCCAAAGTAGGATAAAATGTGCACCTTGAATACCACTGTAGCAGCAGTCACTCTTTTGATAAAAGAAATTAAACTTAGTGGCGGCTTCTCAAACTGCGGAGTTATGTGTTGTGGCTTTGAGTAAAACATGTGGGGTTAGTTACTTTAAGAATACAGTTACACCTCGATAATGAGTGACGAACGAAACTTAGGTCTTAGGTGCCGTGTTGACTACCTACATTCACCTATCATATACGAACATTTTTTGATGGTTCATTTATGTTGTTATTGTGATATCCACTTTTAATTTTTCCGAATCATATCTTCCTGTTATCACAGAGTATGGTGGTCAGTTTCAATACAAAGTGTAAAATCAACAGAAGAAATGTAAAACAAACCAAGGAACACAGAACTGATGGTGATTATCAAAATTCAAATAAACTTATTAAATTCAAATCTCACGACATACACAGTATGATTGAATAACTAATGTCAGTTTGTGGTGAAGACCCTGAATGTAATTCATAACCGTCATTGGTTTGGAGTCAGGGTTTTCCAACTCCCCTAGGTGAACTTTCTGAGTCCACCAACATTCGCTTTTGTCCTCTGAACTTCGTAAAAAACACTAATGCCACAAGAAGGCAGTGAGTAAGACTTCCTTAGCAGAGGTTATATACGCGTGGCCATGTGAAAGCATTTCGAGAGAGAGAGAGAGAACTCTCCCCACTCTCGGCCGTACCAGGGCATTCAGGGGCGAGTAAGATATTAGGTCAATTTGAAACTGGATAACTGTTGAATATATTCAATAAGTTAAGAACTGTGAACTGTGGAAACTCCAATATCTGACAATTTAAATTTGTATATATTTATTGTACAAAACCTATACTGATATAATCATGATTTCAAAACCATCTAATATACAGCATACCTTATATATTTATCATAATAATCATTATCATTATTATCTAGACAAGATTTTGTAAACAGACTAATGTTTATCATTACCATTAGATTACTGATGCAACTGTCTATTTGTCTCTCTATCTCTCAAGCATACGCCTAATCGCTTGTCAATTTCACTCTTTTTTAAACATATTATTATTACAATAAGTTGCAAATTGCGTTAGCAGACTAGTACTTTAGACACTGACAAAATATTTGATAAACAAAATGTAGAATGACGGAAATATTAACGTTGAAACATTTTGTTGTTTTGTACGCTAGCAACAAATACCACCCTATTGTAAAGATATTTGTCCGTGAGTGGTTTTGCAGTTTGTTTAATTTTATTGAAACTACAAACTGATTTCAGTTAGACAACTATGGAAAACTTGAAAGCGCTAGGGACTCATTTCGTCCTGGTATGGAACTTTTAATCAGTGTGGATCAACTGGAAATCAAGTACAAGACTATGGAAGTTGATCTGGCAATATTGTGGAATAATAGAAGTAAGACTTGTTAATAACTGGATATCGGCTCAGTTGGCTAGAAGTTGGGCGTTAGCGCCTAACAATGAAAGTCATGGGTTCGAATCCCTAATGCTTGGATTACTGAAAGCTCGCATGCCAGAATAATTTGGCCGTTCAGCGATTCCAGGTTTCTAATGATTGTATAACTTAAATCAAGTAATCATAATTATGAGAACAATGCTGCGTTTGTAATATCACATTAAGTAGAAATTACAATTTTTTATGTTTCGTTAACTAATTCGGGTATCTCTTTCTTAGAACACATAAAGATTTCACAAAAACACTTTTTAATATGAAGAATGCTTAAATTATATAGTTTCAAGTTACATTACGATTATTCTGACGTACGAAGGCGATATTATGTTTCATTTAAATTTTCTATTTGAAGATACATTGAGATCATGAACCGATTAATGTTAGACAACCATTGGAGACCTGGAAGCACTGGACGTCCGTTTCGTCCTATTGTAGGACTCTTCAGTAGTGCGCGTCCACGATCCTGCTAGTGGGATTCGAACCCAAAGACTTCAGTCTCGCGCAAACCTACTAGACCACTGAGCGAACATCCAACGGCGTTAATGTCTAACCTCAACCGATCCACCAGATTTCGCGACCATCTTCTATTGCACTGAGGATTATTACTACCTGTTTCTACCCACACGGATTAGTACCACTAGTCCCACAATATGAAGAAACGGCCGTCCAGTGCTTCCACGTTTTCAATGGTGGTCTAACATCCATCAGTTCATGATCTCAATCGATTACTTAATATTTTCTACAACCCTATACTGAAGACAGATTATTTCATTTTATTAGATTTTAATTATATAACTAGAATTATTAAAACTGCAATATATTTAACTGAATTACACTGTTCACATTCATGATGTGTTAATTGCTACTACGGTTTTAGTCTGGAAATTAATGACACTTTTGAAATATTTCCACCATAATATTATGCGATACAAGGATCAAACTTTGTTCTGAATGTTAAAGGATCTTCATTCGAAGTAATTATGATGCCTCATAGAGAAAACTGAGATTCTTGAGAAATCAAGAGACCAGTGCCCCTTCAAACAACCAAAAAAAACAACTAATATAGGCATATGTAAAGTTCGGACAATGTGGGAGACTGGTAGAATCAACTGAACAGCTGCGAAAATGAAGAAACACAACTTGACGGGGCTCTGAATAAGTAAAACTTACTGTTCACAAGCCGGATAGAAAAGACTTATCTCGAGGGAGATGATATTATTCTCTGCTAACGAAGAAGAAAATGTTCTTCAAACTCAGGTGGATGCTCTAATGCTGTCCAAAGACGCATGTAAAGCACCTATACGATGAGAATATCATGGATACAGAATCATCCAAGTTACCTTCAAAACAAAGAGGGAGAGAATCACTATGAATGTTATGTAGTGCTGTGCACCCACCAGTCAGGACAACGAAGATGATAAAGAACACTTTTATGAGAGGCTGCAATCGATCACGGAGAAGTGTCTAGGGAAGGACCTGACAATTTTGATGGGAGACACCCATGTAACTTGTGTATGTGTTCGTGGTATAATATTGTGCTACCCATGACTATTTTGTTCAAGGGACATAAATTTGTAAATCTCTCACCATTCTCGTTCCTTTATAACACTACATGTCGTCTCACAGTATCTTCATTGCCACCTATGCTTTTACGTCTCCCATCAAGATTGTCAGTTCGTTTGTTGGACACTTCACTATGATTGACTGCAGCCTCTCAAAAAATTGATCTTCATCGTCCTCGTTGTTATGATTGGTGGGTACATAGCACTGGATAACATTCATAGTGATAACCTTCCTCTTTATTTTGAAGGTAACTTGGATGATTCTGGATCTATGATATTCTTATTTTATAGGTGCATTACAAACACATCATTGCTCTCATATTATTGATTAATCGATCTAATTTAGACAATGATTAGAAATGTGGAAGTGCTGAACGACCATTTTATTCTGGTTTGCGACCTTTCAGCAATGTCCGCATCTGAGTTTCGAACTCATGACTTTCATTGTTGGGCACCAACGAAATATGATAAATTATTATGTAACGATTTTAATCCATCAGTTATAATAATTTATTTGATGTAATAAACTAAATTATCAAATAACCATTATCAATTAACCATGAGGGAATAATGTTAATATACATTTAGAACAGTAAATTTGGAAACAAAAATATGCAGATGGATGTATAATCATTCGTATGGATTTGTGTGTGTGTGTGCGTATATAAAATCATAAAATGGATGATGTATTTTTCACATAGAATCCAACATCGAAAACGGTAAAAGAAGGTGATACAAGGTATTTGGGAATAGATCTTGAAGAAGGAATTCGTTTATCTTGGCAAACAGGCATGAAAAATGAACTGGTGAAAACAACAGATTCCTATCTATGCAACTATAACGATTGTCATAATCACTAGGGAATTGTTGATTTATATCAGATGTTGGAAAAACAAACACTGACAAGGTAATTTAATGAGTTTTCTTGTCGTATTTACCATCAACTGTTAATCCGTTTACCAAAGAAACTGGTTTTTTGTAGGCCTAAATTAGCGAAAGAGTGAGAAATTAAAGAAAATATTGTTATGATTAAAAAATCTTCGTTAACGCGATTACATTTTAATTATATACATTATGAACACATACAGACAAACACTGTGTTGATCCTGATCATACCTAGTCAAGTGGAGTCAAGTGTCATTGTCAATTACCTAAAAATACCTTTCGTAGTTGAATAGGTAATAATATGAATTGATTGGAAATCCAAACAATTAGATATTATCAGAAGGGGTTTTGTGGAGATTTTAGTATTTTTATAGAGTTGAGATCATGAGTCAATTGAAGCTAGACTACCATGGAATTAGATATTAGTTAAGTGGTCTGAAAGCAAGGAGCTCATTGTGAGATTTGAAGGTATTGATTTTCATAGTGGGATACTGAATGAAGACTAGTGAGAAGTCACAAACCAGTATGAGATAGTTTATCCAGTACTCCCTGGTTTATGGTATCTGTCTAACTGAAGTCGATCAGTGAAATAAACCATGAAAATGCTTGAATTTTCATAATTCCGTTATCTAATAATATAGTTTTAAGTTAAATCGATTGCAATTTAAATCTGAGACGTATTGGGTAAAAATTGTAGACCAGTGCAACACAGATTTAGGATACAGAATGTTTATCATTTCAACAATGATTATTTGCAGATCGATATAATTGATCTTGGTGGTCCCGAGGAATTAGACGCAATCCAATCTGACTGGTTTCGAGAACCGGTGGTCCCGGTTTATAAGTAAGAAGAAATCTACTTTCATAACAATCACAGATGAAATAATTTGATCAGTATATTACCTGAAAATCAGCTTCAATATTAATTCGAAGCTGAACTAGACGTCATGAAAAGCGAATCCTAGAAAGGCAGCCCAGTGTCATATGTGGGTGTGAAAGAACAGACCAAATATTCACCCTTCGTCAGGTAATGGAACATAGATATATTTCGTGAAGTTCCAAAGTAATTTTACTTTTTGGCCTTAAGGGCAGCAGTCAATTGTTTTCTGTGAGGTGATTTGACAGTGTCTACCTGTAAAAGGCTTATCATAGACGTACATCAGCCTTGTACAGGATCTCTACTCGAACACTATCGGTCATGTTAGAGCTTACGGGCAAATTTCAGTCGAATTATCAACCTCATTTGGTAATCGTCAAGGTTGTTCAATTTTCTCATTTTTATTTCATATCATCATAGAAATTCTTCTGAAAATAACACTCCAACCAGCTGACTTTCAACGGGTCAGCCTTCTAACAGGAGACTCACTCGTTGATTTAGAATGAACAGGTGGTAAAATCCTGTTTGGTGAAAATGCTGACAAAATCCATTCTTCTGACCACCCTAAGTAACAGTGCAAACATACTTCGGATGCACTCCTTCCACTACAAATGAGAAATCTTATTTAAGGATTAGTCTGTGTCAATTCCAAAACTAACGAGAGAGAGTGAAGTAGTTGAGCGTGCTGATCACTTCATTCATATTGGGAGTCTCATCAGACTTTGTGTGTTGGTGTCTGACAAAACTTCGATACAAATTCTGAAATCTGGTTTAGGTCTGTCAAATTAAATTACTTGTCACGTAGACAGGATATCTATCTACAAACCGAAGGATGATTTAGATGGGCAGCAGTTCGTTTGGTTCTACTTTATGGATAAGAAATAAAACTATTAAGAACAAAGAATTTTCGTAGAATAATAGCACCTAATCACAGCTATCTTCGAGGAATTGATCGTCTATGTATAGATCATCAAGTAATACTGAGGATACATACAAAGTACTATGTAAAGAGGATGAATCGATTAGAGGTAGTAAACGTTCGTTGAGAGGCAGTTAGGACATATATTGTGGAAGCCCATCTAGACGTGAAGAAAGGTAGGGTGTACAGAACAAAACGTGAGATGAGTTCATGAAATAATTGACAACTTGATTTAGCCATATAGGTAAGTGAGGCTATCTAATTGGTATCCTCATGACAACTGCAATTAGTGGTTGCTCCTTCCTACTACCACAGATACTGTTATTACTTCTACTACTCTTGATGATAAAACCTCGTTCTGATGGTGTTGTATGGCAGCTTGAATACATGTGTATTTTTGCAGGGTTCTACATTGAACATAAGTAAATGAATAAATAGTCAAAGGTTGGCGAAACAAGATGGTCAACTTGAGCCTAATGACAAGCGATGACAAGAAAATCTGGGATGATAGCCAATGGCAAACAAGGCCATCAGGGCATACCGGTATACGGCTGGAGGAATAACTAAAAAATGTCACTTCACCATGAAGTAAGCTCTGACGATGTCCAGAACAAAACGATGAAAGCTCCACAAATAATTCATCTAATTCAGAGAACTCACACCATATATACTTACTTCGTAATAGAATTTGGAAAATAAAATAAGAAAAATCAATGCTGATACCAAGATCCAATAACTGAAAACTCTTGGGTAATTACAATCGGTAATAGTCAATGTATATGTTGAGTGAAAAGTAACAATGATGAATTGGGTTATTTGAGCTGCAGTTAAGTACCTGTTTAAAATGCAAAAATATGAAAACAGGAAATAATTAACCATTGCTACTACATTACAGATGGAAATATCAAAAAATATTCTGATTCAAATTGTCAAACGCAAATGGTCAAACGAATCAGTAATAGCAGACAATACTTTTTCTTCTAATCCTGAGGTCATGCGCCCAACATTTCAAGTCTTTAATTACGATCTCTACTTCTGTAGGCACTGAATACATCAGCGTCTGTACATTTTGTTGGCAAACGTATGATGAATGGCACATGTGGGTCCGACAATCAACATTGATTGTTATAGACCCTAAGTGATAGTAGCAATGAGTTTACTGCCATCGAGATAACACATAAAATCAATGACGTTTTAGTCAAGAATTAGGAAAAAGGTTTATATCGAGTTATTCAAAAGCGCTGATCTGCCGCATATTTACCACAGTAACCTCCTTTGCGCGAGAAATTATAGTTGGGTAACCGATTTAATTGTTTAAGAAATGTATGGTAAATTGAATATGAGACATTGGTCTGAATACTAGGTATTCAGCATTTCTGTAAAGGAACGGTTCACATCCTCGAAATATACGAGTTGAAGTAAGATTTCTGATAAGCAATGTAATAATAACAAATAATCAAAATGTTGTGGACAATATATCCCTATTATATGTTGAAAACCTACTTTTTCCACCATATATACTTTTGAAAACGAGGTCCAGCTGAGGCCAAACCATAGTAAGTATACATAAAGGCGTGAACGATACAATTTAAAAATGCATGAAAAGTTCCTAGACCACCTAAAAAGAAAAATAATAGGTTTTCTTGTTATATGGTGAATAAGTTTTAAGAAATGCATATTAGTTTAATCGTCAGTGTTATATGGGCATTGTATAACCAGAATGTATTTCTTTTAAAAATGAATGCCTCCAAATCAAGCTTAAGGCGGATCAAACAACAGATAATCTTAAATCACACGATATAGATTACGTAGGTACTACATTATGTGAATAATTACAATGGAAGCTAAGAAAATGAATAGTGCTCACCTGGGGCATGCTTTACACCGTACCACCATAAAATAGGCATGATTGCATGATGAAAAACATGAAGAAAGCTAACTAACTCAAATTTCTTTCGAAGGATAAACAATACGGTATCAAATAATTCAATTATTTTGGAAATGAAGAAAAACCAGCAAGTAGAGGCCATACGCATAGCAATTGGTCTTCTTGAATAATCAACACTTTGACAACCAAGAGAATATCCTGTAAGCCATCCTGAAACGGCGAATTCGTATACTAGCCAACTCGAAAGCAGAACTAAGGAAATGTTGTACACAATCATAAGTGGCCGTAGGTTAAATGGTGTCTGGTGCTTTTTCATAATTTTTGGACCCAACCAAAGAACAAAGACTAGATACAGCAGAACAGTGACGAAAACAGGTGTTGGATCTTTCATTAGTGGCCAGTTTTCAACTCGTGGATCAGTTGGAGGGAGGATATTAGCCATAATATCTGGTGCCAAATGAGAAAAGAGACAACGAGATTAGGTAACGACTATGTCAGTCTCATCTATTTAGGAATGCAATCACAAGAGAAGAAGGCATTGTGATGGAAAGTGAGAATACAGAAGTGGTACAAAAAGATGCTTGTCAATGTGGAGTGATGAGTTAAAAAAACGTTTCGAAACATTACTATGCGCATGAAAAATTAGGAAGTGAACTGCGGATATGCTTACAGTACAACTTAAAAACGCTTCGAGGAGCCTGGTTTACAGATATGCACACTAGTTTACACTATCACAGCGTTTAGATATCCCGTCAATCTTAAATTAGGGAACATGAGTTACTTTCAAAAGAAGGTATGCCAAAGTGATTGGGGCCGTATGTGGTGTTTGAATGAACCAACGATTCCCTTGTATTGATGACTGTTTTGATTTTGAATTCCAAATACAATACATTCGTTCGTGTTCATCTAATACTTCTTGATAAAATTGCGTTGTTGCTGGAATTACTAGTTCATACCATAACTCAAATACTTCAAATCATCACATTGGCGTCACGATGGAGCCTGTGATGGAACGGTTGAATATACATTCAGATTTTAATGCTTTTGAGGATTACATGGAGAGGTTTGAAATCTGGGTATGATCAAGGAAGATGGCCCATCTCCTAACATTCATCGGAATAAAAGCATGCAGCTTAATAAGGGCTTTGGAATTTCCACACAAGCCGATTTTACTCTCAAGGAACTACTGTTGGACCATGTGAAGCATACAAATTTCGAATGCGATCAAGGAGAAAAATTCGATGAAATGAGGCCAGAACATCAGGAATTCCACTACTTCACTAAGTCGTCACAGTCCAATACGTAATGGAGGTTATTCAGATAACAATTCAATAAATTGTGAAACAGTACACTAAGATGAGCACAAGTTTGGTAAATGCTTGTTCTATGGAAAGTTTCACCCATGTAAATCATGTGTATTTCGTAATTCTAAATGCTTTAAATGTGGTAAAACTGGACACATTCAGTCAGTTTGTAATACGATGGTTGATTTCGCTGAAACTAATGCTAAAGTGGATGTTCCTAATGATTACTTATCTTTATCCAAGACTTGTGGAAGCGGTATAACGTCACATAACAGTCCATAGTTGAACGAAACCTAGAATTATTGTGGGGCAAGAGTTTCTAATCAACCAACTTCCTATCAAATTTCTGTTATTGTATCAGATATGGTTTGTCCTAATGGATCACATATTTTCGATGAAGTTTCTTACAAATTTGAGGAAAATATGTTGAACGAATCAAATAATGATCGAAAATCGGATTCAGTTTTGGTAGATGCTGATTTTCCTAATGATCCATTATTGTCTAATGAAACTATTAATAAATTTGAGGAAATTATTTCAGAAAAATCAAACTCTGATATCATATCAAGTGTCAGAGTTCTTCACAATTAATTTATCTCTAGTGATTTTCCTAATGAATGCGACAAATATGTTCCGAATGAGTCGAATTCTAATCACATTTCTGATGTTATTGTATCAGATGTTGGACATTCTAACAAACAATGGTTTTGAATAGGATCCCCAGTCAGTGGTGTTATGAATCAGAGAGAATAGCAAGTTTTTCTGAAACTATCAGAGGATCGGTTTGCCCAGATATGGAGTTTGCACTGGCAGAGAATCCAAATCAAGTCCAAGATTATCCTAATCAGTATGAAGCAGATGCATGTTTTCCATTCGATTGTTTCGCAGGTAAATCAAGCCTAGTTGAATCACATGTGTTAATTACACAAATCAACGTATATTTATCCGTATTTTAATATGAATGACAAAAAATATGTATCATAACTTTTTATGCAAGTCAAAGTCACATGATGGAACACTTCAACTTATATATCAGTGTGTATCCCCAAATACTCACAGTAATTGAAGCTTGAGTTTTGAGAAAATAATGCAAATTGGGAACGTCATATTGGCTAAAACATTGCGAAGTAAGGACCCAACATTATTTCGTGGGGGACGATATTGTTGGAAAGTCTATGATGCACATTCCAAATATCTATGGTTTCACTACAAAGCCGGCATGCTGAGTGTATACAATTCCAGAACCCAGGTGAGTCTGTTCCGATTTCGGTTGTTAATTCTAATACTAATGAGTGCATTCTAGATAATGCAGAGTCTACATCCAATACACTTTCGGATCGATGTAAGATGAACTCAAGAAGAAGACGAACAATCGGTTACAGTCATTTACACTCCAATTTGAGCTGTGGAGGATGTGGTGTTTGGATGAAACAACAATTCCCTTGTAATGATGACTGTTTTGATTTTGAATTCCAAATACAGTACATTTGTTTGTGTTCATCTAATACTTCTTGATAAAATTGCGTTATTGCTGGAACTACTTGTTCATACTATAATTCACATACTTCAAGTCATCACACCGTAACAAACTCGAAAAACCGCATGTTTTAGGTCATCATCACTACATTTTATTTTCGGTTCTTTTTCCTGCTGCTGATCATAATGGGTTAAAAATATCACATCTTTATTAACTTGAGTCATCACATTTAAATTTAGGAAATAATCTGATGAAAACTAATATAGCCTTCATAATACTTCAAATAGTTTACTTTATAATCACCGATAAAAGAATAAGTAAAAAGAAAGGCCTTTTAGCTATTCAGAATTTGACTTTCTCGAAGTGATATATGATATTCGAATATCTCAAATTTGCAATAAACTCAACAGGATCAAAGTATCTAGGATAATAAATGGTGAATTTTGAAAATCTAGGTTAATTACTTATACTCGAAACTTTGGTAAACTGCTATGTTGTCAAAGTTCAGTGTAGATTATAATCAACTCTTGATCAGTAGTCAACTACAAAAGTTGTGAATAATGACGATGTTCGTAGTAAAATCCTACGCCTAGGTTGTGTTTTTTCTGCCCAGATATTTAACTCAAATCAACTCTACAACGACATACAATTTCAGGTACTTCGATTCTGTGAACAAATTCTATGAGTATCTGATACTATCGAATTATAAAAACCAAACAACGCATAGTGGAATTCAAGTATGTATTCCAGGGGTTTGAGTTATTTAACTGATACAAAATCAAACAGCAACACAATCATCTACATGACGGCAAATTTAACAAACTTCTCTAGTTGTCATGCTGTTGAAATAATCACTCCTTGATTAAAACGTTGACTTTTGAGTTGCTATCAGTGCTATCATCGCAATGCAATCGCATCGCAATCGTAACTAAGTATGCAATGAATTGAAACATATCCCGAAATACAGTTACCATGGTTTTGAATAGCAAATTACAAGCATTGGGTTAATTAGTAGTTCACGTTTTATCGAAAGTAAGGATATTTTGTCTCAGATTTTGGAGACTCACTGTTATTATATACATTGTGTATATATAATGTTATGGTAACCTCACGTAAAAAACAAGTAGTTCATTATGTTCGGACTTTGTATATTTCAAACATGGAAACGATAAGATGAAACCGATGCTGTGAAATCATCAGCAGTATTTCGTATGGTACTTACCTATTAGGTTGGACTAACCACACACGATAAAAACTTTATATTTGAACAGATGTGCATCTCAGTACAATTGTGGTGAAGATTTAAAACAAATTGCGAATTCAGCAAGCCCTCTCTAATTTTTGATGTATTACTTGACTTTCAAGCAAATAAGTAAGTACGTCTTGACCGCCTTAGTTTTTAAATGAATTAACTGTCGGTTTGGAGTGTCTCGTAAGAAATTATGTGATGCTTACATTCTTGTCGTTTTTGAGGATGCTGTTTGAGTAATACTTTTCAGTTATTTTTCCCCCAATATATTGGCACCTCACTCCAAAGTTAGTATCGAGCCGTTTCTTTTATTGAGATCCTAAATTCCCATGCACAGTAGTACTGATGTGGTGTATATCACGAAGGACTTGTCAAGCCTACCATAAGCATCTCTTCTTAATATATTCTTTCGAGACCAGTAGAGTGAGTATTTGAAATTTCCTTGAGAGGAGAACACTTTTGAGCCAAAAGCAGAGGTAGATTGACTCATATTATGGAAGCTGGCTGATTATGATAAGAGGTGCTTTTTCCGGCGAATCGTAACGTGATTTGATGCTAGCCCGTTTAGTTGTAAGTGTGACCAGAATACCTGCTGAAGAATAACGAAGCTGATTGTTTTAGAGACTTTGGGTGCTTAACAGTACCGAAACTAAATTATGCTGATTCTTATTTTCTCTTTGAGTTTAATTAGTATATTTGCTGCCCGAAAACATTCTGCTTCTAAGTAGATTGGCAAGAGGTGTCATTTTATTGAGAAATTTTACACTTGAAACTCCCTTCTCAGGTTCCTGATGATCTCGTATTTTTCAGAAATTCATATACAAGATTTATGTCAGCAATGTGGGGATTCCAAGCCCATAAACGGAATGTAAGCACGATCAAACAAGATCATTGTTGACAACTGCTGTCCAACTAAGTGAGCACTTGTGGTGTTTAAATTAATCGATGACTTCTTGGTATTGATGACTGTTGTAATTTTGAATTCCAAATACAATACATTCGTTCGGGCTCATCTAATACTTCTTGATTACATTGAGTTATTCCTGGGATTACTAGTTTATACTACAATTCAAATACTTCTGATCATCATATTTGCGTCGCGATTGAGCCTGTGATGGAACGGTTGAATATAAATTCAGATTTTAATGCTTTTGAGGATCACATGGAGAGGTTCGAAATCTGGGCTATGACCAAGGAAGATGATGAAGATTTTAATATTGTGGCCCATTTCCTTTCATCGGAAAAGAAGCATACAGCCTTATAAAGACTTTGGCACTTCCAGACAAACCAATTTCACTCCCCTATGAAACTGATCCAACTATTGTTGGATCATGTAAAGAATACAAATTCTGAATGCGGTAAGAGAAAAAAATCCGGTAAAAATACTCGACAGAATATCAGGAATTCCACTACTTTATTAAGTCGTCGCAGTTCGATGCGCAATAACAGTTATCCAGACAATACTTCATTGAGCTTTGAAACAGTCCATGATGATGAGCACGAGTTTAGTAAATGCTTGCTCTGCGGCAAGTTTCACCCATGTAAATCATGTATATTTCGTAATTCTAAATGCTTTAAATGTTGTATAACTGGACATATTCAGTCAGTTTGCAATAACATGGTTCATTTCGCCGAAACTAATGCTAAGATGGATGCTTCTAATGATCAGTTATCTTTATCTAGAAGTGGTATAACGCCACATAACAGTTCAGAGTTGAATGAAACCCAGAATTATTGTGCGACAAAATATTTTAGTCAACAAACTTATCAAATTTCTCTTGTCATTGTACCAGATATGGTTTGTCGTAATAATTCACGTATTTCTGATGAAATTTCTTACAACTCTGAGAATAGAATGCTGAATGAGTCAAATCATGATCAAAAACCAGATTCAGTTTTGGTAGATGCTGAATTTCCTGATGATCCATTATTCTCTAATGAAACTCTTAATCAATTTGAGGAAATTATTTCAGAAGAATCGAATTCTGATATCATATCAAGTGTCAGTGGCCCTCACAATCAATTTATCTCTAGTGATTTTCCAAATCAAGTCCAGATTATCCTAATCAGTATGAAGCAGATGCATGTTTTCCATTCGATTGTTTCGCAGGTAAATCAAGCCTAGTTGAATCACATGTGTTAATTACACAAATCAACGTATATTTATCCGTATTTTAATATGAATGACAAAAAATATGTATCATAACTTTTTATGCAAGTCAAAGTCACATGATGGAACACTTCAACTTATATATCAGTGTGTATCCCCAAATACTCACAGTAATTGAAGCTTGAGTTTTGAGAAAATAATGCAAATTGGGAACGTCATATTGGCTAAAACATTGCGAAGTAAGGACCCAACATTATTTCGTGGGGGACGATATTGTTGGAAAGTCTATGATGCACATTCTAAATATCTATGGTTTCACTACAAAGCCGGCATGCTGAGTGTATACAATTCCAGAACCCAGGTGAGTCTGTTCCGATTTCGGTTGTTAATTCTAATACTAATGAGTGCATTCTAGATAATGCAGAGTCTACATCCAATACACTTTCGGATCGATGTAAGATGAACTCAAGAAGAAGACGAACAATCGGTTACAGTCATTTACACTCCAATTTGAGCTGTGGCGGTTGTGGATTTTTTAAAATTATTCAATGACTTCTTGGCATTGATGGTTGCTGTAATTTTGAATTCCAAATACAATACATTCGTTTGTGTTCATGTAATACTTCTTGATTACATTAAATTATTCCTGGGATTACTAGTTTATACTACAATTCAAATACTTCTGATTATCATAGCACTGCTATTTACTTAACCAGGATTGGCGTTGATGCTTCATATTATTACCAAAACTAGCTATCTCAGTTTCATCAGACTCAATTATGATTGGCTTGCAAATGTTACAGATGATGTCCTATCTTGACTTCACTTTTTCTGTACAACTCCCACAAACTACATAAAGCTAACACTCATTACTTGGCCCACAAACACCCTCTTTATTACCATACGTCGAAAATTTGTTGACTCCCCTGGCATCAGGTTTTAACTTAAAGACGTCAGTTACACATAAGTTTGTTTCACTTGAAGTTTCGCCTTTCCAAATCGCCAAGCTGTCCGTCTTCTTATCAACCCCACTTTGAACTCAACTTCATTGCCAATACACTGACAGTCCTATGATTTCTAGGTAATCTTAAATTACCCAACCTAAGGAAGTCATGCGACTCAGTCAATCATAACATAAATGGAGACAAGAATAAAACGAATGATTACTAGGAAAACTACAAATGAATAACCGAACAACAATAAGGAAAATGCATGCGGCTCCAGCACTTGGAGTGCTTGGCTAAGCCTTTGAATCGATAGAGCTCAAAATAGAACTCGAAGCAACCTAGGAACTACAGCAAATACAACACTCAAAATTCGGGTTGATCCAGCGGAAAATTATAGAAAAATAGACTGTCTATTGATATGTGTGCAAGAATGATAAAGATTGGTTGTCTGCTTTGTCAGACATGTAGATAGTCTGACAGGTGTCAGATGAGTTATATATTCCCCTATCCTTATTATTTATTATTATTGATTCCTTGACTGCTCATTGCTGTTGAACTGTATCGGGTTTCGATGTGGGAATATATTTGCGTTCTAGTCAGGCTGATCACGTTTTCTTGATCTGGGTTGTGTTGACGCTCTGTAGAATAGACACTGGGAGGGAATCCAGTGTAGATATTCGTCTAAGGTAAATTAACATCCCAACCGTATAAAAAAGAAAAACGGCCATTAAAATAATTATACGACATACACGACACAGCTAATCTTTATCACTACGCAGTGTTGATTGGGCCTCAAATAATTCAAAGTCACACTTAGAGTAATCAGATTGGAAAAGTGTATAACTATTTGGAAAAATCACTTACCGTAATGAAGCACTTCATTTTCTTGACGTTGACGGAATGTGTCAACAACTTTCTACAGCACTGCTATCAGCAGCAGTATTTGTTTTGAGATTCATCTTCAAAGAAACTCTTCATCACGAAGAAGTCAACACTAACAGTTAGATAAACTTATGTTCAGTTGAATACGTGAGAGTGTAACCAATAATTGTATTCGTTGCATTTTAGTCAATGAATCAATAACACTTCGACTCTTTGACTATTTTTCCAGCTTTGAATGCTGTCATTCTTGATCAAGACATATTGCTCCCACAACAACAGGGGGACGATACTATTAAATGTAAATCGAGACAATACCAACCATGACAAGAGCAACAATATGGATATAACAGAGTAAAGTGATATGTGAGTACGATCAAGCGAGATCAATACTGTTGTCACCTCAGCCCTCTTGATAGTGATAACTTTCTGGTCTTCAAATGAAACAATTTGAAAGTCAACTTCACGTACAGTAGATCTACCAAACTGTGAAATTTCGTTCTTGCTATACAATGGCAAATGCTTCTCTACCTTTGTAATCGGAATATTTTGATATTGTAGTAAGGGTATTAACAGGATTACAAACCTAGATTATCTGTGCTGGAATACCTTTGCTACCTATTATTCAATGTATTCTTAATTTTTTGCTGTAATAGTGAAATGTACGTAGCCAACGATTATAAGCCTCCGGACTCTGAATACGTACGTTAGGCGTTTACACGTCTCATCCAACTTTCATCTGTCTCACAGTAATCCTCTACAAGTAAAACTAAATTGACCGCCGAAACCGTTATGTGCGGACATCAACAACGTTTAAACAAAAGCTTTACATTCTCGAGACTGTTTTTAAAAAGCACACTTGAAAAGTTATTTTAAAGAAAAATCTTTTTGTATTTTGTGTCAGTAGTATACCCATTTCATATCGAAACGATAATAAAGTAAATTCAAACTATGTAATTGACAAATACGCTGATCACTTTGCTTTTAATAGTTCTGATTATTTCATCTAATGAATAATCTGTTTGTATGTTGCATTACATACACTAGTTCATACGAAAAATTAAGCGATGCTTTCAAATTCTAGAAATATTTTAGTGGCTCTCGAATTTCTGACTCCAGGTATATCGTTTCTGATTATTATCGAAATATAAATGTCGTCAATCCTCGTATAAAATTATCAACTTAAATAGCTTTATGTGAATAACACAATTAAGTCAAATGCGAGAATGAATTTCCGAATATATATATTTC